GATTTGAAGTCCACAAGTCTTAAAGTTGCCAAGGTTGGAGACCCCTGTGTTGGTCTATTCCAGAAGGAGCTATACTATATCTCAAGTGATAGGTCCCAAGGAAATGAGGGTCCTTGGTGCTCTCTGAGTTTGGTAGATTTTTTTTGCAGGTGTTTCATTGCCCAAACTAGGTAACATCAAGCTAACAATACAAAACAAGCTAACAGTAAACAATCCAACCAGAGAACCTCCAAGACCACTCCCACCAACACTGTCAAAGGAAGCCAGTAGAACAGGGGTCTCCAAACTCGACAGCTTTAAGACTTGTGGGCTTCCACTCCCAGAATTCCTCTTCTAGCTCAGGAATTCTGGGAGTTGAAGTCCACAAGTCTTAAACTTGCCAAGTTTGAAGACCCTTGCACTAGAATATAAGTTGAGAACAAACCACATTCCCCTTACTAGCACTGATGTCACCTAGTTTGGGTAATGAAACATCTGCAAGAAAACCACCAAGGCCAGAAGTACTAAAGACTCCCCATTGCAACCCTGAGCTACAAATCATCTCCCTGAGTGTTTTCCTTTAAACTCTCCTCTCAAGGGAGGCCCCCTTCTGATTCAACATTATAGTATGGAACATGAGCTTAAGCCATCATGAATGGTTGAACTAATGCCAGAATGTCATGGTATCCTAGATTCTGAAGGGAAAGCATGCACTGCTGATGGTGCCACCAGAACAATGCTGAGTGACCCTTCATCCCCCCCATGCCAGGCATTCACCTCAGAAGAGATGCAACAGGAACATAGATCAGCCACCATCAAGGCCGCCTCACTTGGCGAGGAGCTGCACTCAGAAGAACTGAGAGAAGATTCAGGTATTAGCCTTTCCTTTCCACTGAGCTTCAGCTGAGTCACCTTAAGGCAGAGATCTTCAAACTTGGCCACTTTAATACTTGTGGACTTCAACTCCCAGAATTCTCCAGCCAGCATAGCTGGCTGGAGAATTCTAGGAGTTGAAGTCCACAAGTCTTAAAGTGGTCAAGTTTGGGGATCCCTGGCTTAAGGCCAAGAGAGGATTGCAATAGGGAATGATCCAAGCTCTTTGCAGAGACTGCAAAGATGTTTAATTCTTGGTTAGTAATTAATCATAAAACAACTTCAGGTGATTTAAGAACACCATTAAACTACCTATACAAGTGACAAAGGGTGGGGGGAAGGTTTCTTGATTGATGTTTTCTTGATTGATGTTAGGATCTAGTAGTGACCTGAAACTTTTCTTGATTGATGTTAGGATCTAGTAGTGACCTGAAAGGGGAACTGCATTTGGCTCTGCAATTTATAATAAAGAAGATTAGGTCCGATTTGGATTAAATATAATAAAGAAATTTGCATTCTTTGTCTTGCAAGCACATGACTAGAATCTGCCTTCATTTCATGTGCTTGTAAGACTAAGGATGTTGTACAGGTTTGCACCATTATTGAGCTAGTAATATTTTGAATTCCATGTTATTGCTGATGGTTTTAATGTCCTGAAGTTGTTCTATTATTAAGACAACTGGAGTTATTTCAACATGCCCTCTTTAGAATAAGGCTTCCTGCAAGCATGCAGGTATGTGCGTGAAGGCACCATGCTTTCCTGGAGATTTTATTTATAAAATAATTTTCCTTGCATGATAGTAGATATAATTTTATTGCTGATTCTAACCAAGGTGTAGAATTTTAGAGGTAGGGATACTCATTAGAGGTTTCTTGGAGTGATTTCTGCTTGGCAGAAGTGATCCATGGATAACATACACAGGATCTTCCCATCACTGTTTCAAAGGCTGCACAGGCTCACTGATGAGATCAAGTCCCAAGCTTGTTTATAGGAAGGTGGCGATTGGTTGAATCAACAGTTTTAAATTGGAATGTCTGCCATAGTAAGTACATTTGCCAAATCAAGGGAAGATACCTCAGTGTGGAAATTAAAGTTGCAATCATCTTGCAGTTGCTAGCAGATTATGCACAAATCTTCAGTCCTGTATTTTCTACTAGGATTTGGGACCTTCTAGGAAAGAGGTGGGGAATGCTGGTTCTTTTATGACTTATAGACTTCAACTCCCAGAATTCCTGAGGCCAGCATAGGTAGCTCAGGAATTCTGGGAGTTGAAGTCCACAAGTCATAAAAGGGGCCATAGTTCCCCACCCCTGTTCTAGGTGGTGTTAAACCAGGGGTGTCAAACTCGCGGCCTGCAAGCTGGATGTGTCACATGATGGCCACGCCCACCCCCATTTTAGCAAAGGGGGAAAAAGTTACAATACGCCACGTGACAATGTGTAATCGCAAGTTTGACACCCCTGTGCTAAACTATCAAGCTTGGTCTGTGTAATTCATTGATTAGTCAGGTGCCATCTTGTTTATAAAGTATTGTGTTTTTATCTCGTTATTTGTTTGATATTGTGAGCCACCCACAGATAATCTGGAGTTGGGTAGTGCCAAAATCTAATAAAATAAATAATTAAGCAATGAACAGCCAGAATTTCAGGTAGTTTAGGATTGGTCAGACTTGCAATTCAGCTGCACGTGGATTTTTTTTCATCCTTTTCTGGCAGATCAAGGAGTATAAAAATATCTCCAGTAGTTGATTCAGATGTAGCTGCCCATGTATATGACTGAAGAATAATCCTTTCAATAGCTACATATAACATTCTTTTTAAAATATCCACCAGCATGAAAAAATATATGCTGAATTATTTTTTTCAACTATTTGCCATCTAAAAGCAGTAATTCTGTTGAGCTTCTTTTTTTTTTTTTAAAAAAAAGGGTAGGGTTAAAAAACATAACCATAAATATAAATATTAAAAAAGACAGTCTGCAACCACTGAATGGCATGGAAGAATAAGCCAGAGTTGGCAATAAGCATTTATCATCAGAAGTGTCATATATATTTAAGTTGTTGTTGTTGTTAGTCGTGAAGTCATGTCTGACTCATCACGACCCCATGGACAATGTTCCTCCAGGCCTCCCTGTCCTCTACCATCCCCCAGAGTCCATTTAAGCTGACACCAACTATTTCAGTGACTCCATCCAGCCACCTCATTCTCTGCCGTCCCCTTCTTCTATATCTCTATATTTAAGTACTTGTATGTAAAGTTTTGCCATTAAAGTCCCTACTCCTAAGCAGCTAAGAAAGGAAAGAAAAATAAAGTCAAATAAAGAACAACATGGCTTTAAAAAAAATTAAAGCAAAGTCAACAGAGGAGACCAGAGTGGCAAATCCAAGTAAAAGGTACATGAAATAAGGTCATAATAACTCTCAGAAAAGTAAATATGCTGAAATTTGGAGAAGTGGCTTCAGAAGGAAGGATTTTATAGCAATGACTAAGAGAAGCAACAAAGGAGAATGAAAGGAAACGAGATTGGACTATGGTATAAAATCACTGATCTGAAAGATCCTTTGTGCATGAATTTCTACTGTATGTTTTTAAGTTTTTTTTAAAAAAAAGAAAAGTTGAACTTATCAACTTTTAAGTTTTTTTTAAAAAAAGAAAAGTTGAACTTATCAACTTTCTGAAGAAAGGGCTGCTGGGTAAATTCTCAGAACTAATCAGAGGGTCTTCAAAATCCACATTTTCCTCCTGATTAGTAGGCAGTGCCAACCAATGGATACTACTGTGAAATCACTGTAGTGCCTTGAAGATATTATACACAAAGAAGGCTGTGATATTGGGTGCCTAAAAGGATAGTTTAATGCTTCATTGATTGGGTTTATATTGCACTGTGTTGGTGAAAGATTTCCACTTCCTTGACATTTTTATTTCCTTGACACTCTGTGTCAATACATTGAGTTATCTACTTCAAGTTTTTTTTTTAATATTATTTTTATCTATTCCTGCACTCCCTTGTCATTTATCTTTAGTAATATTCCATAAAATTGTTTTCAAAAGACAACTAAATATTTCTGGGGCCATGTCTATGGTGATTCTCAGTTATCCAGGTCATGGTTGTCCCAAAGGTGCTTTTTTCAAGAGGCAACTAGACTTTCTGGTTTTTCTTTGAAGATGCTTTGCTTCTCATCCAAGCAGCTTCTTCAGCTCTGACTGGGTGTTGGGGAATGGAAGGATTTATTTCTGGGCCCTTTCTCCCTTTCCTAGCAACCTTGTCTTTGGTGGGATGGAAGAAGAAGAGAATAATTTCCTGTACAGTGTAAATTGTAAGCCTGAACTTCAAGGATGAAATTAATTTAAATGAAATTCCATGAAATTAATTACTACAAGTTGGAAAGCATCTGAAGAATGTCTGTATGTTTCATTGAAGGGATAGAAATAGTAGTAAATGTAAGATAGGATGATGGGGAACGGTGGAATCCTTGTTTGAAGCCTTCTTAGAACAGACGGAAAAGCTAAATGTTGAATATGAACTACTGCATTTTGTATAAGTGTTGTCTTCCATAAAGTCAGTCAAAAGTTAGTGTGTTGTAATGCAGCGGCTGGCCTGCACCTTTTGGGGTACCAGAGACCAGTGGTGGGATTCAAATGTTTTTACTACCGGTTATGTGGCCAACCCTTGGTGGGCGTGGTGTGGCTTGGTGGGCATGACAGGGGAAGGATACTGCAAAATCTCCATTTCCCCTCCCCACCCCACTAACCTGCTTTCCAGCTCCGTTCTCCTGTGCAGGGCAACAAAAGAAGACCCAGCCGATCAGCTGGGACTCGGGAGGCAGAGAATAGATGGGGGCAGAGCCAGTCAGAGGTGGGATTTGCTGGTTCTCTGAATTACTCAAAATTTCTGCTACCGGTTCTCCAGAACTGGTCAGAACCTGCTGAATACCACCTTTGCCAGAGACAGGTTGCATGGAGAGAGGTTTTTCCACAGACCAGAAAGGGTGTGGTTTCATGTGCTGCTTGCATCCTGGTGATGGAGCTTCACTTGTTTTCACAGCCCGGTTTCTGGCATGCCACGGACCAGGGGTTGGAGACCTCTTGTTCTAATGGATGAAAATTTGGTACTCAGGCTAAGAAAAACAGAATAACAGAGTTGGAAGGGACCTTGGAGGTCTTCTAGTCCAACCACCTGCTCAGGCAGGAAACCCTATATAGACAAATGGCTGTAAGAGAACTCCCATGGTTAGAAGTTGGCTTAATTAATTCACAAGGAAGTGGGAAACATGTGCTATTTGATTTATTTAGAGTAGTAATGTGATCAATAAATTGACTAAAATAATCAATCTATGGTCATTGTTCAAAGAGTGGTATCAATGCCACTTTCACAATACAATAAAAAGCAGGATTCTGTTCCAAAATGCTCAGAGAGTCTGTTTTATGAAAGATAATAAAAGAAAGGAAGATTGATAGGCAGACAGGAAATAGGGAGGGATATGCACAAATTCCACGTGTGTCTTCAAGGTTTAGTTTCTTGAGGAATAAGGACTACTTGGGGCAGAGGTGGGGAACCATGGTCTTTTTATGACTTTTGGACTTCAACTCCCAGAATTCCTGAGCTGGCCATCGTTCTCCTGAACTAGAGGAGCCACAAGTTGGGTTGCTGAAGGTTTCATTGAACAGATAAACTTGGAGAAATACGGTACGGAATGTTCCATCTTATGTTCAGTCTAGAGAGATCAATGAATTGGTTCATGACATTCCTATTTCACCTTTTTTTGCCAACAGCTGAAGCGAAAATGGCTTTTGAGAAGTTAAAATAACTTTCAACCTCCTTTGTTTCATATATTTTTTTCCCCATTTTTTCCCGGTAGTCAAAAAAAATAGTTGTATCAGCCTTGTTGCTTTTAAAGAAATCAGTTCCCATTTTGCTCAGTTCCATTTCTAGCCAATAAGGGAATAACACCACCAAAATGAGCGTCATGGTAGTTTTGGAGATCATCTGGGATGAAACATAGCAGACGATGGACAAAGCTCTTTCTTGCCCTTATTCTGAATGGTCTTTCCAGGACATCTCCATAGCCATCATACACTCAGAGCCAGTGTAGTATGTTAAGGAGGTTACAGGGTCGGACCAGTGAACCCCTGGTTCACGTCTTGCTTAAAACATGAATTTGCTTAGTCCAACATACCTCAAAGAGTATTGTTGTGAGGAAAATATGACTGTGAAAGCTGATTTAAGTTGGAGAAAAGGCAATCAGGTAGTCTTCAACTTATGACCACAATGGAGCCCAAAAATTAGGTGGTGATTGTGAGAAATTGGTTAACTGAGTTTCGCCCCATTTTACGACTTTCCTTGCCACATTTGTTAAGTGAATCACTGCGGTTGTTAAATTAGTAACACAGTTGTTAAGTGATTCTGATTTCCCCATTGACTGACTGACTTTCTCTTTCTTTCTTTCTTTCTTTCTTTCTTTCTTTCTTTCTTTCTTTCTTTCTTTCTTTCTTTCTTTCTTCATTTTTTTTATTTATTTATTTATTTATTTATGGAAATTTATATTGCCACTTATTCACATATGGCGACTCAAGGCAGCTTACAAGAATATAAAAACCTCATATTAAAAATAATAAAACTAATAAAAGAGAGAATCTTATAATAAATTAATAAAATAATATAATAAAATAACCCACCCCCCACCCACCCACCCCCCACCCCCGTGACAACACATCATACAAGCCATTGAATGGACTCCATCCCACTCTGGGTTGCCCAGGCCCGCTGGCAGAACCAGGTCTTCAGTGCCTTCCGGAAGAGTGTTAGAGTGGGGGCCATTATAATTTCTGAGGGAATGATATTCCAGAGAGAGGGAGCTGCCACGGAGAAGGCCCTTCTTCTGGTGGGACCCACAACATTCCTTACCTCCCCACTCTGGTCGGTCAGGTAGATGTGACCAGTAAGAGATGGTCACTCAGATAACCAGATGTCAGAAGGTCACAAAAGGTGATCTCATGGGACACTGCAACCGTCATAAACGTGAGTCAGTTCTCAAGCATCTGAATGTAAATCATGTGACCATGGAGACGCTGCAGCCTTTATAAGTGGGGAAAATGACCGTAAGTCACTCTTTTCAGTGTTGTTTTAACTTCGAATGGTCACTAAATGAACTGTTGTAAGTCAAGGACACCTGTATCAAAATCTAACATATACATCAATCAATTAAGAGGGAGGATAAGAAAATATTACCCTTACATTTTTGATGTTAATTCTTCTTTTAGCTTTGCAGAAGAAGGAGAAAGTAGGGATACCCCACTGGAAATCTCAGATAGCATTTTGACCTACCTTGAAGAGTAGGTTGCATTTAAAAGAAAACTCAGTTCAGCTGCAAGAAAAAAAGCCATGGGGGAAGTTCAGCTATGGGGAAATGTCTGTGGAGATTCTCAGTCATCCAGGTCATAGTTGTCTCAAAGTTGCTTTTTTAAAAAGGCAATTAGACTTTTGTTTGTTTTTGAAGAAGAAGTTTGCTTTCTCATCCAAGAAGCTTCATCAGTTGTGACAACTGATGAAGTTTCTTGGATGAAGCTCCATCAGTTGTCTTCTTCATCAGAGAAGAAGCTTTATCAGTTGTCTTCTTCATCCAAGAAGAAGCTTCATCAGTTGTCTTCTTCACCCAAGAAGAAGCTTCATCAGTTGTCTTCGTCTTCTTTCTTCTTCTTTCTCAAAAAAACCGTTTTGCTATGGGGGTTGACATAATACAGAAATAGACTGGAGATCAGTGAAAGAATTTAAGGAACTGAACTGTAAAAAGGGAAACATGAATATGACAACACAGTTCTGTGTGAGATGTGATTAAAAAGCTCCTGACAATGTTGGCAATCTTCTCAACAGAGGAACAATAAGTGATGTTACGAAGTCATGTCAAAGGACTGACAATTTGGCCTGTATGTCTGTAACAGCTGTGCGTTTTGACACACGAAGCCATATATTTTCCCTTCACAAATAATGAATGCGATTTGCACTGTACATTGCTCTAGTGTAGATACACTAAAATATGCTCTGAGTAGATACACCATGATTAAACATAAAATATTCATATATGGGGAGTATCAGGGTGTATTGCAACAAAAGCTAGTTTTCATAAAAGTATACATCTTATGCTTTCCTAGAAAATGGAAAAAATATGAGAATCAATGTACATATCTTACTGGAAACGATTTTGAAAAACTGTGAGTAGCAAATAGCTTTTGTAAAATCCCTACAATTGTCTCACAAAAAGAAATGTAAAGAAAAACCTTAAAACATCTGTTCCCTTCATTAGCTGCCCTCTAGTGGCTAAGCTGCCAAGCATCTGAATTGCTTCAATAGTGCATTCTTTGTTTTAATTTTTATTATATTGTGTTCAGGACAGTCCAACTCATTTCCTGAAGTTTAACTACCATGGATAATTCACTCACTCAGTAGATTTTTGAAGGCTATCTGGTTTCAAAAAGACTCTGGGTGGCTTACAAATATAAAATTTAAATCTCTCTCCTTCTCTCTCAATGGGATTTTTTCCAAGGCAGAAAATAAATGAAAAACAAAAAGTAGAATGCAAGAAATTAAGAAATACAGAGTTAAAATTAAAACTCCAGAAAGTGTAGTTGAAAATCAAGCAATTGAAAATCAAGACCTGCCCCTTGCTTCTCATTTACATACACTCAAACATATACACAGGCAATTCTGAAAGCAAATATAAATGTTTCTGGACTTCCATCTTTAATATTTCTGCTCAGAATGATATTTGTAAAGTGAAGGTAATCTATTAGGCAACATGTTTATTAAAGGCCTACTTGGAGTCAGTTCATCCTGCAGAATCTCTATCTAAATAGTCATTGAGTGTCAAAACCAACTTGATAATAATGGAATGGAATGGAGTGGAGTGGAATGGAATGGAATGGAATAGAATAGAAACAATAGAATAGATTAGAATTAGAATTAGAAATAGAACAGAATATTCTTTATTGGCCAAGTGATTGAACACACAAGAAATTTGTCTCTGGTGCATATGCTCTCAGTGTGCATACAAGCAACAAAGTGATAAATCATAAAATACAATAATAAACCAATCAATTAAATCAGTAATATCATAAATCATTTGATTTGTTGGGGATTATACACTGTTGCCATTACTAGAATTCTGTGGCTAGACAGCCAATGGCATATTTTTATGGCTTGTTGGGATAAATTTGAAAGGAAGTCTGGGTGGGGGTTCAAATAGTATTACCAAAATGACTGTATTTCTTTTATTTTAAATGATTGTTTCTTTTAAAAACAAGGCAGTTAGAATCCTGTGTGAATTTTCTTCAGAGCAAGCCTTCTAGTGGCCAGTAATGAATATAACACTGCTGGCTCATATTTAAATGATTGTCCATTAGGACTCCAAGATCCCTATCAAAGTTACTACTATTGAGCCAGGTACCACATCTACTATACCTGTGCATTTTGTTTTCCTTGCCTAAATGTAGAACCTTACTTTTTTCACAACTGAATTTCATTTTGTTAGATAGATCTTATGGTTGGAGAAGAAAGACACTGAACATAACAATAAGCACCTCATACTCCACAGATATTAATGGTTCTCCTCCATTCCATTCTCCCCAGAAACTCTTTGAGAATTCCCTCAGAAATATCCCATCTCTCCAATCATTGCAGGTATTTTAAATTCTGCTTGGCCACACATTTGCTTTACTAAGTAGACTTGAATTGACTTCCTTCCTGGGTGAAATACACTGGTCTTCAAAAGATTACAGTGAAACATGATTTGGTTTTTTTCCCCTCTGTGAAGCCCAAACCTATCCATGTTTGCTCAGATACAAATTCATTTCATTTCAGCTCAGCTTAATCAAAAAAATAAACCATTCAGTTCAGATATAATTGTTCAATCCTTTATAATGTTGTTTAAAGTAATGAAATTCTGTCATCTCCAAGAGCAACCTTCAGCTTTGAATAGAGTAGTTACTGACTCTTTCTCTTCTTTTGTATTGTTCTTATCATTAGAACTAAACTATTTTTTAAAAAAAATAGTTTAAAAATGTGTCATTTTTTTCTTATGATAATAGATCTGCTCTTTTCAGTATATATTAGGAGAATGTTCAAACACTCATGTTTGAATAAGGGCAGTTAATCAACATCTCTTGAGTATTTAAGAGCATGGCTCCTTTGTAGTTTTATATTGTCATTTTAGCTATTGAATTTTAGAAGTTTAGGAGGGGTATGGTTCAGCTAAAATGGTAGATAGGAAACCAACATGAGATTTCTGCATTTAATTAATGCCATCCTTAATTTTCTCTCAGGAACTCAACCTTTGAGGCATATACCGTGTTATCCTCTTACACTCAGGAGCAATTCTGGCCGTAGTAAAATAAATACAGAGTCTGCTGTCCCCTAACTTCTGATATTACTGGGATCCATATTTTTTCAAACAGTAGAGCTGGCCTTTAAAGCCCACCACACATTCTTCAAAGCATTTGAACGCATTTTCCAGAAGAGAGGAGGGAGGAAGAGAATTGAGATATTTTGTGTTGTAAATAAGCCCTCTCAGCGTTACCCTTTTCCTTAAAAGAGAACTATGTGGTGAAGCTATGGACCCTTTTTTTATCTACAATCCAGGTGGCCTGGTTCCTGGAAGGGTCTGTTGGCCACAAGTGGACACAAGGAGTGCTTTGTTGTGTGCTATACCACCACGCCTATATTTCCTTCTCTCTCTTTCTTGCCCTTCCCCTTGTGCTGCTGTCATGGTGTATTTCATGTCCCATTGCCTCTGATCCTGTCTCCTCTCAGCCAAGAAGACATCAGCATCCACAGATGAACGAGAAAATGCCAGCCTGCCAACCTCTGAAGAAACTCCACAAGCCTTACTACTTTTGGGATCCACTGAGTCCCCCCAGAAACAGATGGAAAGGAACACAGCCCAGGCCCCTAACCCTCCTTCCTCACTTCCAGTTCCACCACCTAAGATTGTACCCAAAGTCTCAAAGATTGTACCAGGTGAGTCTCATTCAGCCAAAGGGAGCTGTCCTTTATTAGAAGGAAGACTGGTCAGCCATGGAGTCATGAAGATGGGCGAAGATCTCACAAATGTCCCAGGAAAGGCGTAGTCCCATAATTTAAAGAAACTGCAAGTTTCCATGTAGTGTGTGAGGGGTACCTTATAATGAACATAGCTTAAATGTCTGTGCTGGTGATACATTCTGCCACAGCAATTCTACCTTGTTGTTGTTGTCATGTCCAACCCGTCATGACCCCATGGACAATGTTCCTCCAGGCCTTCCTGTCCTCTACCATCTTCTGGAGTCCATTTAAGCTCATGCCTACTGCTTCATTCCACCCAGCCACCTCATTCTCTGTCATCCCCTTCTTGTTCTTTTGCCCTCAGCCATTCCCAGTATTAGGCTCTTCTCCAGTTGAGTCCTTCCTTCTCATTAGGTGGCCAAAGTATTTGAGCTTCATCTTCAGGGTCTGGTCTTCTAAAGAGCAGTCAGGGTTGATCTCCTCTAGGACTGACCAGTTTGATAGCGCTGCAATCCAAGGGACTTGCAGGAGTCTTCTACCTACAGTTCAATAATTTGTAGACTCAGAGCATGTTTAAAAACTAACATGTTTGAGTACTGGCTTTTGGTTGATAACATACAGTTACGTTTGACAGCAGAAGTCTTTGCAGATTTGATAGTTCTCAAGGACCAAAAAGATGAGATATGAAAGTGCTCTTATGACCAAATCCAAATTCACTTCTAAATCCCAATTCAGATTTCATATTCCAAAATGCACAGTTCAACCAAAGCTGTGGGAGATGAAAGAATTGATGTCTGAGTATGATGCCTATCTTTGTATGTTGGTTCAACTGAACAAAGAACTGGATCCCGGGCAGAAATCAATATGCTGTCAAAAAAAAAATTTACTAGAAGAGCTTTTAGCTTGGCTTAATGTGACCTGTTCTTCTGGAAGACAGAGGCTGAAAAATCCCTACGTCAATGTTCACACAGAAGCAGTTTAGATAATCTAAGATATGCTTATATATTGTCCTGTTTCTCTGAAAAGTTGGAGGACTTGTTTTTGATAGAGAAAGAGAAATGGATTGGGAAGTTGGAAGATCTCTGGGCAGCTTATATATTTTCATATCAGGATGAAATCATTATAAAGTATCACTGGATTCTCTGATAATTCTTAGGCCGTGTATGTTTAAACTGACTCTTGGGCCAACCAACCAAACTTTTCTCTGATAGAATTATTTTGTTTCTTCTCTTACGCTTATTTTAATTCTACTCTTTAACCTCCCAGCATCAAAAACAAATAGAAACTTCAGGACTTCTCATTGTCAATTCAAACTATGAATTTAAGTGCAGTGTTATATAACCATATACGTGTATAGCCCTGCCAAAGAGGATGATCTCTACATGTAGATAGATACAGATTTAGAAGCAGATGCTAAATAGAAATACAGTATTGTTCAGTTTAAAACTACAATGGGGGAAAATATACCTAGGCAACTAGATATACTACTTTTAATTCTACTTTCCAAATGCTATTTGCTTTCCCTACTTAGAGTTACCTTTAAACTAGAACCCAAGGGCATCTTCAAACACCTATTACCACTACAACTAAGTCCATCCACCATGCTGCTAATTGTCTTCTTCTCTTTCTTTCCACCTTTCCCAACCTTAAAGCTTTTGTCCAGCATTAGGACCTTTTCCAGAAAGCTGGGTCTCTGCATAATGTGCCTGGAGTAAGATAATTTGGGCCTGGCCATTTGTGTCTCAACTGAGAATTCTGCGTTGATTTCCTGATCATCCATTGTTTTGTTTTCTTGGCCATCCATGGTGCTCTCAGACGTCTTCTCCAACACCAAAGTTCAAAGAACTCAGTACTCTTCCTATCCAGCTTTTCAAAGCCCCATTCATAAATCTCAGTAAAAAGTAAGATTTATCTGAGAAGACATCATGGGGTTGCCCTCTGAAGTTCTCCATTTAAACTACCATGTTTCGCTGGTATCTAGAAACAGCTGGAGGAAATCTACAATTTTTCATCTCCTTGCACCTTAAACAGAAACATACTGCTTTTTTTCCCCAGGCATGTTTTAAGGGATATTGAATTAAGTATCCTGTGAAATAGACAACTTAATAAGCCCTAAGCCTGAAGCTCTAGCATACATGAAATGCTTTTGGTTTCACTCATATGCTAATACGCAGCCCTCTACTTTCAATCAGAATTCATATTTATGAAGACCTCCATCACGATGCATATTTTAGAAATGATATCAGGGTTATGCCAATATACCTCCAAAGTAAATAAGAGCAAGACTTCACATGGTGAGGCTGCACAGATCTCTGTTGGAGATTTACTTCAATGAAGGCTTGAGCAAAGCAATCCCCTCAAATTTGCTTCATGATACAATACAGGGTCTTCATTTCTAAGAGCAAATGAAGAATTTCCCTCCTGTAGCGTTGCAGATGCTGGGAGAAGCACCTGCCAACTGGGAGAAGCACCTGCCAACTTTGGCTGCCTGCATTACAAAGATTTGATGGAAAGTTAATCCCTGTGGTCAGCTATATTTTCTTGGGGACAGAAGTATCTAGAGGAGAGTCCAAAAATAATAAAATAAAACAAGGCAGCTGCAATCATAAGACTGATGTCTCTCCCCATTTTTTTTTGCATGCATCACATGTGTAATGTACAAAAGAACAAAGTAGGCCTTTGCATAATTGCTGCCAGGCCCAAAGAACCAAGAATGACATGGGGAATGACTTCTGAGTTAGTTCATTTATTGTTATTCACCTGCAAATAGAAAACCTGCCAGACTAAAGCAATTCTCTGCAATAATTGTAGATATACTCTGTGAATTGCTAGAGTGGTACAGTGGCCTAGAGGTAGAGCTCTCACCTCACAATCAGGAGGCTGTGAGTTCGATCCTAGGTAGAAGCAGATATTGCTCATTCTGAGCATGCTGAGAATATATTTGGTGAAAAACAACAACAACTCCGCATTGGCAACAGGAAGGGCTTCCGGCCAGTAAACACTCAGCTCCATTCAGTTGCCCAGACTCCACCCCGCAAGGGATTGTGGGGTTGTTAAAAGGAGATGATGATACTCTGTGAATTGCTAGGGAGAGTCCGATCTTTCTCTCTTCCTGCCCACCAGAGATTCCAAGCTCTAGTGTCTCTTTGCCTTCAGGGGAATACCCCTCCCTCCTGCAACTCTGGACTTGCAGTCCTCTTGCCTTGTTTTTTTTAAAAAAAAACTACTCTCCCAATAGAGAAGGAAGGCAAGGGGATTTCTGAGATTGGCCCTTTGGAAGGAGTCAGTTAAAGAGCAGTGGCGCAGGTGTCTTTTCCATGTGTGGAATGAATGGAAACCTGCCGTTTGCATCCCACCCCCAATGACCTTTTCTGATTTTCTTTCCAGCTGCAGGAAGTGAAGCCGATGAGACAGCCTTGAAATCTCCCCCATCCACTATCTTGAAAAATTACGTAATTGTTGGCTCCTCGCAACACTCAGGACAAGCTGTTACCTTCCAGTCCTCAGGACCGAAAGTCTCCGATCCCCACCTCAGAGGACAGCATTCGACGCCAACTGGATCCCCTCACCTGGCTGCTGTCCACCTACCTTTACCTCCTAGTCGAGTCATCGAGGAACTTCACAGAGCCTTGGCCACGAAACATCGGCAGGATAGGTAAACACTTGCAATACTCTATGAAGCAAGCGTCCTGTGAAGCAACCGCGGCAATAGATATCCCTTAACTCAAATTCGTCTTTCACATTGGCCCAAATCAGTGGTGGTATTCTACCGGTTCAGCCCGATTCGGGTAAACGAGTAGTAAAAAATGTTACCATTTGGCTGAACCGGTAGTAAAAAAATAGCTACTGGTTTGGCCAAACCAGTATTTCTTTTTTCTTTCCTCCCAACAATCAGCTGTTCCGATGATCAGCTGTGCCGGGATCCCCCTCGGTGTCTTACTGCTTCGTCCGGGAGGCTTCCCTGAGGCCCAGGAGGCAAAAAACGGAGCACAGGGAGGGGTGCTGCAAAAAAAAGCCACATCCGCCCAATCACATGGACACGCCCACCTGGACACGCCCACCTAGCCACGCCCACAGAACCGTTAGTAAAAAAATTGCATCCCACCCCTGGCCCAAATCACTTTTCCTTTACTTACAGCTATAATATCCGATACAAATCTAAGAATGACATGATTCATTCTTAGAATGTCTAATCAAAGACAGAAGCAACCTTGAACTAAGGAGAAATGGAATGGTATAGGATTTCCTGCTAGAGCAGGTGATTGGACTAGAAGACCTCTAAGGTCCCTTCCCAAGTCTTTTATTCTGTTACAATGAATCAATGGAACAGCTGTCCCTCCCAGAATCATGAGTTCTTCATCGCTGGAAGTTTTCAAAAAAAGATTGGATAGTTATTTGTGCAGGATGATATAAGGTCTCCTGCCTTGAGCAGGGGGTCAGACTAGAAGACCTTCAAGGTCCCTTCCAGCCCTATGTTCTATGATTCAGATGCTTACCAAGTGGCAAGCTGATTTCTATAATAGAATAGTTGTCAGGCCTAAACCTAGAGAAGACAGAGCAAAACTCAATTGAATTGGATCTTTATTTGCTTATACTTAAGGGACAGAATCTTGCCAAACTAAAGCTATAATCTTTTTAACCTACTAGACATATCCTGAGAGATTCTAGAGTCTTCAAAAGAAAGCAATACAGTCCGAACTTAATGAGTAGATAGAGGTGAAATAAAAAACCAAAGCAAACTACAATGAAGGAAATTCCACAACGGACCAGGATAAGTAATTACCAACTTCAAGGAGATAACAAGGCATAGTCTGTTGGAATGATGCCAACCAAGATAACTTCAGCCCAAAATAACCCTAACCCTGAACTTATAGACGAGAAAATTTGTACTTCAGGGTTGAACTGTGGGGTCTGAAACTTGAAGACGTTTCATTATCCAACTAGGTAACATCATCATGAATGTCTTCAAGAAAACAACCAAGCTCAGAGAGCCCCAAGGACTCCTATAGTACCTGAACCACGCTTCCGTATCCAACTCAGGGATACATATTCTCTTCATCCGGGCTCCTTTTTGGGAAAGCCTCTTTGTTGCCAAAACTCTCCCTCACAGGTGCATCTTCCATCACATGAATAGACAAACCCACCTCGCCATATTGTAGATGTGTTAATTCCAACGTTTTGGAGGAGGCCTGACTAGTAGAATCTTGCTGTTCTTTCTCCAACAAGGAAGCCAAGCAAACATAGTGTAAAAGTGGCTGTGATGACCCGGAGTGTAACACAAATGTAACAAAATCCAAAACGTAAATAAATGTCCTTTAATGCCTCCAACTTGGCCCCACGGTTCAATAATTCTCAGTTGGAGATAAAACCTATTCAAAAATAGTCTTCAAAAGAAAGCAATACAGTCCGAACTTAATGAGTAGATAGAGGTGAAATAAAAAACCAAAACAAACTACAATGAAGGAATTTCCACAACAGACCAGGAGATAACAAGGCATAGTCTGTTGGAAGGATGCCAACCAAGATAACTTCAGCCCAAAATAACACACGCTTTGCTTCTGGCAACACTGTGTTTTAACCGTCTCTCTTATATACTATTCTCCCCAGCTGCAACTAATGAGGGGGATCGTGGCCGCCTCCTCTCTCATAAGCCAAGTTGTTTCCTTCTCTGTTCCTCCCTGCGTGCCCTAGGATGAAGAGGGGATGGGCCTGGTTCTTCCTCTGACTGCCCAGCCGGTCTCTGCCCTTCCCCAGCCTCCTTCACAACCTCCGGAGCCATACCTCCACTCCCTGTCGGCTGTTCCTCCTCTCCTTCAGAGTCCGACTCTAACAAGAGCATGACAGTGGCTTGATCAGAATGATGTAGGCAATATTGGATATGGGAGAGAAATGCATTCAGTTCAGATTTTTTTTTTTTGCATTTTTAATGCAAATGAGCTGAAGTCTTGACTCCTGGACCAGAAGCACATTGGTGTGCCCTTATTTTTTATTTTTGAGAAAGGTGTGGTGCAGCTCACCAAGGAAAAGTGTGCATGGCTTTTGCAGAACAAAAGGAAAATGTGTACAAGAGGGTGGGCATTAGAGGGAAACCTGCAGAAAACTTGTTTAAGGAAAGGAAAGTATATTAAGAAAAGTGGGTTGCTGAATGCATCTGTTGGGAGAAATGAAATGTTAAGTGAAACTCTGCAGTTGTTAAGTGAATCATGCAGTCATTAAGCAAATGGGGTTCCCCCATTGGCTTTGTCAGAAGCCAGTTGGGAAGGTGACAAATGTATGAAAATGTGATCAGATGTTTGTGAGGATGGTTTTGTGGCTGATGGGGAAACCAGGAAAGAATAGAATAGAATAACAGAGTTCGAAGGGACCTTGGAGGTCTTCTAGTCCAACCCCCTGCTTAGGCAGGAAATCCTACACCACTTCAGACAAATGGTTATCCAACATCTTTTTTAAAAACTTCCAGTGTTGGAGCATTTACAACTTCTAGAGGCAAGTTGTTCCACTGATTAATTGTCCTAACAGTCAGGAAATTTCTCCTTAGTTCTAAGTTGCTTCTCTCCTTGGTTAGTTTCCACCTATTGCTTCTTGTCCTGCCCTCAGGTGCTTTGGAGAATAGCTTGACTCCCTCTTCTTTGTGGCAGCCCCTCAGATATTGGAACACTGCTATCCTGTCTCCCCTAGTCCTTCTTTTCATCATACTAGACATACCCAGTTCAAGCAATCGCTCTTTATATGTTTTAGCCTCCAGTCCCCTAGGAACTACTTAGAACCTGAGCAAAACCAAAATGGAACATTCTGCCTTAGAACTATAGAATTACAGGTGATCCTCAACTTATGACCACAATGGAGCCCAAAATTCCTGTTGCTAAGTGAGACATTTGTTAAGTGAGTTTTTGTCCCAGTTTGCGACCCTTCTTGACACCATTGTTAAGTGAATCACTGCAGTTGCTAAGTTAGTAACCCGGCTGTTAAGTGAATCTGGTTGCTTGTCAGAGGGTCCCAAAGGGTGTTCACGTGACCTTGGGACACAGCCACGGTCATAACTGTGAACCAGTTTGCCAAGCGTCTGAATTTTCATCCCACGATTATGGGGACGCTGCCACGGTTGTAACTGTGAAAAACGCCCACCAGTCACTTTTATCAGGGTTGTTGTAACTATGAATGGTCACTAAATGAACCGTGGTAAGTCAAGGAGCAAAAAAATGCTTAGTGGTTAGGGTTAGGGTTAAAAAAATACTTAGGGGACTAACCCATATTTTGTGATTGCGTGCTTCCTTTGCATGTGATTTTTGCATTTTCGCTATTTTTCCATAAAATGATAAATGATCAGAATATGTTTTGCTTTAATTAAGGTTTATATTAGAAACACACATGCTGTTCTTTGAAAAGGTCAGCCTGGCATGCCATGTTAGCATATTTCAACACTATGCCCCCATCACTGTCATCTTGTACCTTCATATTGTGGTATATATTCAGATCCAGCTTTCCCATCTTGAATGTTGAAATCTCCTGCCACCTACGCCAGGGGTCTCCAACCTTGGCAACTTTAAGACTTGTGGACTTCAACTCCCTGGGAGTTGAAGTCCACAAGTCTTCAAGTTGCCAAGGTTGGAGACCCCTGACCTATACCACAGCTCCAGAGGTGGCATTCAGCAGGTTCTGAACAGTTCAGGAGAACCGGTAGCGGAAATTTTGAGTAGTTTGGAGAACCAGCAAATACCACCTGTGACTGGCCTCGCCCCCATCTATTCTCTGCCTCCCGAGTCCCAGCTGATCGGCTGGGTCTTCTTTTGTTGCACAGGAGGTTAGTGGGGTGGGAAGGGAATGGGATTTTGCAGTAACCTTCCCCTGCCATGCCCACCAAGTCACGCCCACAGAACTGGTAGTAAAACAATTTGAATCCCACCAATGCACAGCCCCCTGCCTTGTGTCTGGGAGAACATGTTGCAAGCGTTGATCCCTGGTGTGAAACCCAATTCTGTCTGCGTTTTGTCTCCAGCTTTCATGGAAGAGAAAATAAAGCATCTCCCAAAAAACGAATGGAGATCCGCTTGTCCAGAACATCCAGCACTGAACATGGCAAAGAGAAGGATGGGTCAATGAGCTATAACAGCGATCCAGAAAACAGATGGAATTTGGTTAAGGAGTCGGATGAGAACAAAGAAAACCTGATCATGGACTCTGAAATCAAGGATGATTCGGTTTTCTACGAGGACGAAGAAGTTTTGAATGATTCCATAATTTCTGGTAAGAAAAACCAGTTTATGAACCTTATATCAGTCTTCCATCCTTCTGAGGTCAGGTAAAATGAGGACCCAGATTGTTGGGGGCAATGTGCTGACTCTGTAAACCACTTAGAGAGAGGGTTGTAAAGCACTATGAAGCGGTATATAAGTCTAAGTGCTTATTCTATTCAATTTGATTTGATTCGATTCGATTCGATTGCCATGGTGGCACAGTGATTAGAATGCAGTACTGCAGGCTAACTCAGCTCACTGCCAGCAGTTCGATCTTGACTGGCTCAAGTTTGACTCAGCCTTCCATCCTTCTGAGGTCGGTAAAACGAGGACCCAGATTGTTGGGGGCAAACCATTTAGAGAGGGCTGTACAAGCATTGTGAAGTGGTATAGAAGTTTAATTGCTAAATTTCTAAATAAATAAAAACTTACCCTGAAAGACTGGTCCATGGGGATGTCTCCTTGTGTTGGGTTTGTGGGGTTTTCTGAGCTTGGTTGTTTTCCTACAGGCATTTTGTTACTAGGAATATCAACCATGCTCAGAGAACATCAAGAGTTTGACAGTTCACCCCTGAGCTACATACAGAAGGTTCTGTCATGCATAAAGGTAAAGGTTCCCCTTGCACATCTGTGCTAGTCGTTTCTGGCTCTAGGGGGCAGTGCTCAACTCCATTACAAAGCCGAAGAGCCAGCACTGTCCGAAGATGTCTCTGTGGTCACGTGGTCGGCATGACTAAATGCCGAAGGCTCAGGGAACGCTGTTACCTTCCCACCAAAGTGGTCCCTATGTTTCTACTTGATTTTTACATGCTTTCGAACTGCTAGGTTGGCAGAAGCTGGGAGAGGAGCTCACTCCGTTACACGGCGCTAGGGATTCGAACTGCCAAACTGCCGACCTTTCTGATCGACAAGCTTAGCATTCTTAATTGCTGAAAATTGTTGTCCCATGGATGCTGCTGTCCAATTCTGAATCATTGTTCTTTCTCTTTTCTTTGAAGTTTTATTTTGTTGGATTCCATTTCCTGTGCATCTCTATTTTCTTCTCCCGTATGGCTTTCTCTTTCTCACTTTCATTTCAGACTTTCTTCCTCCTGGACAATAGTTGCATTTTTTCTTTTGATTATATAAAGTGCCATAGTGATAGTCCTTGAAGGATGAAATAGTCTCTTTTCTGTCCTGTATTAGTTCTGGGTAGGACACACCACTCTTTGTTGATTCCTTACTCTGGCACTTCTGTTTTCTTATGTTTTGCTGCCATCCCTTGGAGTCTCTTTTGAACTGCATCTCCAATAAGTGATTTTATATTCACTACCTGGCTAATGGACACTCGTTCAAATGTCTATTTGTCATCTCCTTTGCAACCTGAGGATGTAGCAAAGCTTTAAATAATCTATCTAGTCATCAGGAAAGTCTCTGGAGCAATGCAAAACATCACATTCAAATGATCCTACAATTACATTGAAAGAAATCTGCAGTTAATTTTGTCTGCTCCCTCTGGTTATTATCCAGATGATTGTCATAGCAATTGGTGTGCAATGCTCATCCACCAAATGATCTTGAAGTTTCTTTCTTCAGAAACTAATTCAGCAATCTCAGTCACATGTGCAGGCATCATGTTCAATGGTGCTCTTTCAATGATTTATTTTAAGTTATTTTATTTATTCCCCACCTTTATTGTTTATCTCCCACCTTTATTATTTTGATAAATAACTCAAGGTAGTTAACTTGGTTAATACCCCTTCCTCCTCCTCCCTTCCCCACAATAAAAATTCTGTGAGATGAGTTGGGCTGAGAGAGATTTATTTTATTTTATTTATTTTGTTTGTCAAGCATGTATGAGAAAACAAATATAAGTATGAACATAACACATATAACACATAAGTATAAACAGGTATAAGTATATACATAATAAATGAGCATGAATAAATGGATAAATGGGAACAGTAGGACAGAGATGGTAGGCATGTTGGTGCGCTTATGCAAGCCCCCTTACAGACCTCTTAGGAATGGAGTGAGGTCCACAGTAGACAGATTAAGGTTAAAGTTTAAGATTGACTGGT